CTAGTTAAATGGCTGCTGTGAATCTGGAACTTTGTCCCCAAACTTGGCCTTGATCTGTGTCATAAAGGACTTCCACTACAACGTAAAGTTTTCTTATTCTCCCTGACTAAGTGCTGAAGCTCATATTTTCCCACATTACTCTCCTTTTGCCAAGTATTTTTTGCCCCCAATCACTCAAACTACCTATATCCCTTTTCAGACTCTCCATCTCCTCTTTACAACTTACTCTCCTGCCTATCTTGGTGCCATTGGTAAATTTAGTACAGATACATTCAGCTCCTCCATTCATATCGTTGCAATAATTTGTAAACAGTTGAGATACTAGCACTCATCCTGTGGCACTCCACTAGTTACAGGTTAGAATCATAGAATCCCTACAGTGTGGAAACAGGCCCTTCGGCCCAACAAGTCCACACCGATCCTTGGAGCATTCCACCCAGACCCATCCCCCTATAACCCACAAACCCCTGAACACTACGGGCAATTTCGCATGGCCAATCCACCTAGCCTGCACATCTTTGGACTGTGGGAGGAAACCCACGCAGACACGGGGAGAATGCGCAAACTCTACACAGGCAGTCGCCCGAGGCTGGAACTGAACCCAGGTCCCTGGCGCTGTGAGGCTGCAGTGCTAACCACTGAGACACCGTGCCACCCAATCCTGCTCTCTGCTTCCTGCTAGCTATGTAAACATTTACCCATGTTAATATATTATCCCTTACATCATGTCCTTGTGTAGCAACTATTGATGCACCTTATCAAATGCCTTTTGGAAGCCCACATACACAACATCTACTACTTCTCCATTATCCACTTTGCACATTAGTTCCTCAAAAATATCTATTAAACTCGTTAAACAGGATTTTCTTTTCACAAAATTATGTAACTCCGCTTGACTATATAATGATTTTCTCCACGTTCTGCCAAGACCTCCTTAATAATGAATTCTAACAAATTTCAAACAATGGATGTTAAGATAACTGACCTATAGTTTCCTGCTTTCTGTCTCCCTCCTTGTTTGAATAAAGGTGTCACATTTAATATTATCAAATTCACTGAAATAAATCTGAATGACTGGCTCTAGTTACTATTTTCCTAATTAAATCCTTGTAAAGACTGTCTCCCAACTGTACTTATGTTACTAACCAACTTTCTCTCATACTGTACTTTCATCTCTTTTTTTTTTGTAATTTTCTATTGGTTCTTAAGATCTGACCAATTTTATGACCTGTCACTATTCTTTGTAGATTTATTCAGTACTTCTTTCAACCCAATACAATTCTTAAGTTCCTTATTTAGTCACAGTTGATGTATCCTGTTCAAAGAACCTTTCTTTCACATTGACATAAATCTTTGCTGAGAGTTATTATATAGTTTTTTAAATATCTGCCACTTGCAATGACTTCTTCTAAAGAAACCCCTCTAGGTACTTCCATAAAAACCTCCAGGAATGCTGGCACAGAAAGATTACCTGGAACTGTTATATCATGGATTCAACTGACTTCCCAGCAGAAAGAAAGTCTATTAAGGCAGTCCTTGGGCATTTAATGAAGCAGGGGGTACATCCACAATGCTATCATGTTCCTCCCCCCATCCCAAGACCAAATTCAGATGGAGTCTCTGTTTATTTAGCTTAATCTCCCAGTTTACCTCAGCTAGCTATGCCATCAAGTCTTTATAAGATTTAAAATGCTACATTTCTCTCCTTCAAAACAGATATGGAATCTATTATTTAATGATTGCTGTCATCTAGACACTTCCTTACCATGATGTTGTTGCTTAATCCTGTCTTATTGTTCATTATCATATTTTCATATAACTAGTCGTCTATACAATGTACTGCTCTACGAAATTCTCCTGAATACACTCTTATGAACTGATTTTCCAATTTGACTCTTTCAATCAAAATGTGGTTTGAAGTCAACTGTGCTTATTGCAATAATTTTCTTACATGCCCTCTTTATCACTTCCTGTACACTCTGTCCCATAGTGTAACTACTGTTAGTGGGGGGCTATATACCACTCCTGTATGAGACCTCTTATCCATACTATTTTTTATTTCTCCCCAACTGATTCAAATCTTGCCCTCTTGAGCTGGGGTCATCTTTGATTATTTTAATGATGCCACCCTGGATTAACAGAGCTACCTGATCACCATTCTTAAGCTTCCTATAGTTTTGAAAAACTCTGAATTTTTGTTTTCTCCTCTAAAAGTGGATAACCACGCATTAGTGCACTTCTGTATTCCAATTGCCAAATATTTGAAGACCTCTTCAAATCCCCTTAAAGTGCCTTGACACCCTCAACTTCCACTCCCGCTCCCACCTAGGTTTGTTTCATCTGCAAATGTGGAAATATAACATCCAATACCCAGATAACTTACAGTCATAGAGTCATACAGCACAGAAACTTGCAACTGTTGGAAGGGAGCCAGAGGTACATAACCTAAGCACTTGCTTATTCTGACTGGCATCACTGGGGGCAAAGTTGACATAGTCATCTGGCCTAGAAAACAAGTCTGTCACTCACTGTCTGCTACATTGACAACAGGGGAGCTCCTGACTCTCATTCCAGCCTGGATTGGTAGCCTCTAATAGATGGATGCAAGATTTATTTCCATCAGAACAGACTTTAAACTCTGAAATAAGGCCAAGCGGCAGCTTGTGCAGCTTATAATCAAAGTTGTGACTATTCCATTGTTGTACCAGTGGAGTTTTAAATGCAGTCATTGGAAAACCAACAGGAAACTCAAAAAGGCTACTAGCAAAAGCATTTAAGAAGCTGAATCACTGTAAAGGTGATCAGTTCAGGAGGGTTTTCAGAACAAGTAATGAGAATAGATCTTACAGTTTATTGAGTCTGGTCTTCCAAATGATCGAGGATGATTTGTCCGTAGGACTAACCAATTCATTTTGAATTTAATCAATTGGCTTTTGTGCTCAGTAATGAAAGGATGGTGCTTACTATTCGTTATGCTTAAAACTGCCAATGTTCATGTGAACTTCTGAGGAGCAATTTAATACCTGATATGGTACACTGCTCTCTATAGCAAATATGCCTCTTGTATGAACAACAGAGTGCATCTTCAACTGATCATTTGAAGAATCCTTACTGAGGCTTGAACCAGAATGTACAAGTTCGAGAAATTCACTGTCAAATCACGTACAGAAAGTGAAATAAAGAGAGAACTGATTTAAAAGAGCTGGAAATAAATAGTTTAAAATTGTTATTTTCTTTTAAATCTCCAACATTAATTAAAACCTTCAGGAATGAGACTCCATATTTTAAAATATTAATTTTCAGTGCCAGTTCTTGGTTAAAGTATGAACTTACTCTTGAATGGACAAGTTCGGGATTCTTCTTGTATGCTCCACGAGTGACACATGGGTAAAGGTAGCTATTTCACACATTGTATGTGTTTCAAATGAAATCCCTCAAGTTATTGGTGTTACACAGTTTGTGACCTTCTGATTTATGCATTTACCTGCAGTTGCGGATGCTGGATGTTGTTGCTTGACTAACTCTGTAATAACTCATTACCTGGCCATTATTCTTAATGCAAATTCCAGGGCAATATATAGAAAATCCTTTTTAGCTCTTTCCTGCATCCCCAAATGCCAATAATCTAAGCTCCAAATTTCAGGTTCATGAATTTCTACCATATCAGCAGTTTCATAATTATCCTCAATTTGTAACTCTATTCTGAATCTGATTGTCATCTAGTATTTTTGTAAAAGGAGTTGAATTAATGAGACAGCCATTGCTTTTGCTGTCAGTTTGTTTCACATGTGCATTTCTTTCTAGGAACTGGAATTAATTTGGAATTTCATTGAAATGAGCACTAAAATGAAACACAGTTGGGTTACTGAATTGAGAAGGAACTTCTTCACCCAGAGGGTTGTTAATCTATGGAATTCCTTGCCCAGTGGAGTAGTTGACGCTACTTCAGTAAACGTTTTTAAAGATAAGGTAGATTTTTTTTGAACAATAAAGGAATTAAGGATACGGTGAGAACGCGGGTAAGTGGATCTGAGTCCACGAAAAGATCAGCCATGATCTTATTGAATGGCGGAGCAGGCTCGAAGGGCCGGACGGCCTACTGCTGCTCCTAGCTCTTATGGTCTTATTTGGTCTTGTCAGGTGGGACCAGCTTCTGTTAGAATCCTATTTCATTTCCTGCATTCTTTCAAAGACAAGGCCAGTATCCACTGCTCATCCTTTACTGATGTTGGTGAGGCCTCTCATGGAGTACCGTGTCCAATTCTGGTCGCCCTGTTATAGGAAAGATACTGAGAGAGTTGAGAAGAGATTTACCAGGATGTTGCCAAGAATGGAGGTTTTGAGTTATAAGGAGAGGCTGGATAAGCTGGAACTTTTTTCAATGGAGTGTAGGAGGTTGAGGGGTGACCTTATAGAGGTTTATAAAATCATGAGGGGTATAGATAAGATGAATGGCAGGTGTCGTTTCCCTAGGGCGGGGAAATTCAGGACTAGGAGACACATTTTTAAGGTGAGAAGAGCGAGATTTAAATAAAAAAAAGGGGCAATTTTTTTATACAGAGTGGTTCTTGTGTGGAATAAACTTTCAGAGGAAGTGGTGGATGTGGTACAGTTGCAACATTTAGATAAGTACATGAATAGGAAATGTTTGGAGGATATGGGCCAAGTGCAGGCAGGTGGGACTAGTTTAGTTCAGGATTATCGATGGTATGGACTAGTTGGACCAAAGAATCTGTTTCTATGCTGTATGACTTTATAACTGCCTCTGAGAAGGTGGTTGGTAAACCGTCTTCTTAAATTGCTGCAGTCCTTCTGGTACAGGTAGACCCACAGGGCTATTGAAGGAGGGAGTTCCAGGATTTTGACCCATCAAAGATGATAACAGAATGAGGCTTTACATTAACAGACTCTTTAAATAACAAACAAAATTTGTTTGCAATTTGTTTCATACAGAATAGTACATTGGCTTCAAATATAATAAACAGCTCATTGCAAAATCATTGCTTTGCACATTTCTTTTATTAAAAGAGTAACTACACAATGGTCTTAATGAATATAAGCAAACCCTTATTCTTCAGTACACTTCATGAAGCTTAACTATAACTTAATCCCTAAAGTTCAGAACCAAGAACCATTAATATGTAGTAATATATTCATTTACCACCATGAACAACATTTATTATGTAGAAAGCTAAGACATTCCTTCACTTCCTGTGATATTAATGCATTCAACTAAAATTATACATCTTCTGTACTATTTACAGCTACTGCAACAGACTCTTATGAAGGCCAGTCAAAACTGCTTACATTACATTTCCTTATATACACAATGTTAACTCAGCCTTGCATGATGATTTCAGTGGGTTAGGCAGTCTTTTTGTAGAAGGTAGCAAGTGTACACAGTGCCATTAATTGTACAGTCTGCTTCACACAGGAATAGCACAGGTGCATTTCAACATGAGTCACTCTGAACAAACAGCAGTTTCAAGAATGCGGAAAGTAAGATCAGATTTTCAAAGAAAAGGTTGCCAGGGAACTTCCTCCAAGTCGTAGTGACCCAGGTAAATTAATAATTAGGGCTGCATTTAAACTTTTGCAGTCTTCTGTTTTAATTGTCTTAGGTACACCAAAACCAGAAGCATTAAGCTTTGCCATTGAGTCATGTTGGAAAAAAAGTGATTAAAAAAAAATTATCTTTATCCCCTTGATTCTATCTGAGATGTCATGCCTTGTCTGAACAATTGTCTAGCCTCATGATTGTTAGACCAATTACTTAGAATTTCCTCTGTTTGGTGAAAAAAGTTGGTGTTTCTTGCCTGTGCGAAGGGAGATCCTGAACCAGCACTTGGGAACTTCCCACAGTACTGTACAGGCTCTGCCATCTGGGGCAATTCAAATTAATTGTGTTTTTCAAAGTCTTCATAGAAATATCAGAAATTAACATTACCAATAAAAAAACAATCATGCTTCTGATGCAAACAATAACTGTTTCAATTTATTAAGGTGAATACTTTGATCATTTAAATGTAAAGTCTGAGTGAGTGATGTGGGCTACCACACTGCATTATCAGTGATATCGAATATTGGACCATCAACTCTAACTGATGGAAAAACCATAATCCAGGTCCTGAAATGAAGCAGTTAACCTCCTCATGGAAAGAAGATAGCGAAACAGTTCTGTTTCAGTCAGGTCCAAGGGAGGTCCCCATCATGATCCACTGTTGCTTTCATCCAGTCACGTTTCCTTTCTGTGTCTTGCAAGTGTTGGTGACTCAGGAGCTGCCGTGTTTGGAATGTTATACAAAGTAGAGTGACTGCAAGTTCTTGAGGGTCTGTTGATAACATGACTGGCTTAGTTCACTTGCAAGCTACAAGGCCTGTGGCACCACAACTGTAAAACGCACATCGGTTGAGAAATGAAACATAACAAAAGGGTCGGCATCCAACAACCACAAACCTCGTCCTTTCTGTTGGGTCTGACTCAAACCAATTGCACATTCCAACCCAATACCTATTGACTTCATTTATATCCAAGACAGGGTGACCTGTGACTGGGGGGGGTTGGGTGCCGTGGGCGAGAGATTCAGTTCTAGTTACCAAATGGATTTTAAAGGCATTTAAGATCCTAGATCGAAAGGAAGCCTGAGAGAGGCACATAGCTTTACAGGTCCCAGAAAAAGGAATGAATTCCAGTTAGAAACCAATTGCAAAGAGGTTTTATTCCACCGCAGAAAGGGAGATATCCTGTTTGAATGACAGATCGGATGGTGCAATTGGAGGCAATCATTGCAAAGAGATTCAAATAGAAACAAAACGTAAAGTGACAGGTGGATGGCCAGAGGCGAGTGAGACACTGTCAACCAAGTGTCAAACATCACCGAAAGCTTTTCCATGGGATGTCGGAGACACTTGCCCAGATATGGGAACATGACTCAACCCTTGAGAAGACTGAAGCTTTTACACAGTGAGGAGATGTTGTGCCTGGGAAGAGAAATTGGGGCACACAGCAATGAAATGGCTTTACCGCAAATACTATTGGAAAGTGATGTGACAATAAAATCAAACGTTTAATAACCAACTTGGGAATACCATGCTGTGGCGACCTTGTGGTTTTGATTCATTGGGTGTGTGTGAAACTTCATTCTGCTTTCCTTAAAGCTTGCAAACAGGAGTAAGCTTGCACCATGAGTGAATCCCTGTTGAGCAGCAAGACTTTGGTTCACTCCATCTTTCTCCTTTCTAGCATTGATGGCTAGGTTATAAACTAAAATGCATTTATGTGACAATGTACACTATCAATCATGCTAATACTAAGTCCTGAGTCTGCCTAAAAGTCCTAACAAGGAATGATAAAGAGAGTGTAGTAAAATACTGTTAAAGAACATAGCCTCATCTGAAATCCTTATCTCAAATTCAAAATGCTAATCTTAATGGCCAGTCAGTATTAATGCAGGCTTGCTGTTGTAAAGATACTGCCCAACATCTTTACAGGCTAAAGCTTTAGAGAACCCCTTAACAGATGGCTTTTTTTTTTGTTTTCTCAGTTAAATAGCATTAGGTAAATTCAATAACTGGAAATTCACAGAAACGAAGCCCCCAGGCTGGCATGGAGGTGGCATTACTTATTGGACGAGCGCTCTCTGAGCTCTGGCAGTGTCAGCATTTCTGGGGCAGACTTCTTCCGTGGTCTGTCCTTTGGTACAGTGAGGAAATCGGGTGGGTCTCCGCTGAGCGGTGTGGACGGTGCACTGGCAGGGGCACTGCGGGTGGCTGGAGGCTGGGCAGCTTCGCTGACGGAGATAGTGGGGGCCATAATTCCGATCTTCTCGTTCGTCGCTTCCTGCGTTTGCTTTTCATATTGCCGAACCTCATCCATCGTCATATCTGCCAAAGGAAACGGAGGTGGGGTGGGGGGAGAGGGGGTATAAAGAAACAACAGGTGAGCCGCATTTTACAAAACTTCTCGCGTACAGCAGGGTTTGTAGGTTTTATGCCCATCGTCTTTGCAAACCCTTCAGATCAGATCAAGAAAAATTGCACCTGTTGAGTCAAAACAAAATCCCACTCTTTATAGACAACCTCATCTTCCGATATCATATTAAACAGGCTGATATCCGGATGAATTAGGCAAGTGAAGTTTTTCAGAGATTTGTGTGCTTTATTGCCAATCTATAATTTATCACAAACACCAGTTTCCTTGACCCCTTCCAGAACCTTTCCCTATCCAGGAACAGACTCGTAACTGAGGACAACCGCAGTTCTTTGTGAATAAAATAAATTACAAATGGCAAAACAATTACCCATGGTGGGGGAGGGGGGGGCTATAACATTCATTAAAACCCACCACCAAAAGGGTGGAACAAGGCAGGGGGTGGGGTAAATCAAAATCTAATAGGAAGGGTACAAAATGCACCCAAACCCCATGATGCCCACCTATCCTTCAAGCATACTGGTGAACATTATGTCCTCCTTATCTGATGAAGTTTGGGATTATGGTTGGACCTGTTTCCATGCCATATGACTCCATGACCACCTGGGAAAAGAACCCAGCTCTTATCTTAAAAAAGTTAATCTCCCACCAGTGAAAGAATTCTCCCAAATAATCAAATGACAAACTCTGCCCAATAGGAGCAGTGTAAAGAAGAAACAGTGATTTTCAAAAAACAACCATAATAACCTACTGTACAAAATCATCCAGTTACAAACAGTGGGGTATTGTAATAATGTCAAAAAAAATCAAAAAGGTGGGGAAAATAGTGTTGGAGAATGAAATAATGTACTTTAATTCCTGCAGTAGAAACCCAGATCTGTTTTTAAGGCCCAATTAAGAAACAACAAACTCTGCCCACTGTTGGAAGCCAGTTCTTTCTTTATAATCGTCGTTATATTCATATATGTCATATTCACAAATCTGGGGAAGACATTATTCATTGGTATCCATTATTCCAAAACAACGCAGATCAAGTCCTTCAATATCCAGACCAAATATTTTGGGAAATTTAAGGCTACTCAGTGATACAAGATTAGTTCCAATTAGTATATTGCCATGTTGTTTTGAAGCTTTCAACAGCTCCTACTCAATGTCAGTGGTACAGAACTTTCGAGAAGCCCCGAGTGTTGAAGATCATTTGTTGAAAGATGTTGGAACTTCTCATTCTGGGAGCTGCTAATCAGCATGTTTTCCAATGCAGCTTGGAAGATTTGTTAGAAAGCTCTCTGTTGAATTTCTCACACGCACTTTGTCTGAAAGAGACAGCATCTTAACTTGGGAGCTGGCATCTGTTGAAGTCTTTTCTCATTGCAGGGAGGGAACTCAACCAAAGGATGGAGATATCAATTTCATAATAATATCAATATCATCTGATATGGTTTATGTCATTTCATGTGGGTCTGGAAATGAGTGAAAACAAGCCGTCCAGACACTTTTCGCTAAAGCGACGGCTCCATGAAGTCAGTAAATTGTGGGTTTAAGTCCCTGTCCAGAGCATCAGGTACACACTCCGAGCTGACATTCCCAGTGCTGTACTGAGAACAGGCAGCACTGTCAGAGGTCTTGTATTTTGGGCAAGATGTTAAACTGAGGCTCTGATTTCGTTCTTGGGTACTACGTGAACAGCAAGGGGTTCTCCCCAGTGTTCTGGCCGATATTAATCTCTCAACCAACAACAGTAAAACTGATACAAAAACTGAAATTGCTCAGCAGGTCTGGCATCATCCGTGGAGAGAAATCAGAGTTAACATTTTGGGTCCAGCGACCCTTCAAAATGTATGATTTGCTTGTCACCTCATTGTTGTCCGTAGGAGCTTGCTGTGCACAAATTGACTATCACATCCCCTACATTATAACAGTGCTGGATTGGCTATAAAATTCTTTGAGATGACCCTGTAATTGTGAAAGGTGCTGAATAAATGCAACTTCTCCCTATTTTAAAACAAGTTCCATGACTGACAGTAGATAGGGTTAATGTCTGACATTGTGTGAAACAGCGAATAACATTGCAGACAAATGCAGGCACAGGCACACTGATAAATCAAAGTGAGGTTTTCTCATCAGAAAATAGCATTCTCCATCTGTGGAACATAAAGAGGAGCCAGAAAACATCGTTCCGAGCCGATGAACTGCACCATAATTCCTCAGCCTTAGAGCTCCACTGCATCCAGATGAATATATCTACTACCTAATGAACAAAAGCACTTGGAAGTATGTTTTATGTATCTTAGATTAGCACCCTGCTCTTACATACAGGTTCAGAAGAAAACTTCATTAGCTACATGAATATTTGCATAACTCACTCAGACACATGACTAGAGTCTCACCTGAATGAAGTTTAATCTATTTTTACTGTCAGTGGGGCAGATATTCAATTCCTCTCTGCGTCTGGTTTTATAAATGAGTCCATAATATTGTAAAATTTTAAGTAATAAACACACCTCTTCATGACTTAAGTGGCTTTCTCTGCAGGTCATTATTCATGATGTACAAGGAAACAACTTGAAACAACAGAATGAGATGACATGCACTGAATCTGTATATACCATCCTATATCAATATATCACTACGTTGGTGGGAATTCCATCACCAAAAGTTCCACTCCAAGCAACTCACCATTCTGAATTGGAACTACATCATCATTCGTTCACTGTTGCTGGATCAAAGTTCTGGAATTCCTGCCTTAAGGGCATTGTGAGTCAACCCACAGCAAGTAACCTGTAGAGGTTCAAAAAGGCAGCTCAACGCCATTTTCTCAATGGGCAACTAGTGATGGTCAATAAATGCTTGCCAGCCAGTGATGCCCGTACCCCAAAAGTAAATTTTAAAAATTCTTCTATTACTACCCCTGGGGGTTTGTTAGCTGAGTTGGCTGCATGGCTAGTTTGCAATGAACAGTAATACCCACAGGGTTGGTTCAATTCCTACACTAGCTGCAGTTAAAACAAAGGACTTTCCTCCTGAATGCCTCCCCTTTCTAAGGTGTGATGGCCTGTAGGTTAAACCACTGCCATTCATCACTCTTTAATGAAAGAGCAACCCAATTGTCTGATTTGACTGTGGCAACTTTACCATTACTGCTGTATGTAATGCAACAGTCTGAATATTCAGACAGTGGGAATTCCCCAGGATTATTCCCAACCCAACTCTAGAACCTTACCAGAAATGTAGGGGAAACACTCTTAAGTGGCTGCCAGAAATTCCTGACAGGAGATCCAGAGCGAAGACATTGATACCGAATAAACTGGTCTTAAAAAGTCCCCATTGGAACCCAAATGTTTCAAAAGGTGCACTAAACCATTGGAATAAGATTCACAGCCTTGTTCAATAGATTTATTTTGGTAACTCTTTTGAAACATGTCAGCTGTGTAGAACTTGTTGGGTTCATGCACTGTTCATGACTTCTCAATGCGCTCGTCCTGATATTTTTTGGGTGCAAACCTACTGAATTCCAGTAGGGGGCTCCCAAAGCCTTGGGCTTCACACTTGCAAAAAAAGACTATACAGCTCGGTAAAAGGTGACTCTGCTCGATGAGTGCGTCCTGGGGTCTACGGTCCAAATGGCCCTAAACATTACTTCAATTCTTTTCTAGCTCTATCCAACCTCCTGTTAAATACATTCTGGGCTATTTGCCTTAACTGCTCCATGTGGCAGTGATTTCAACCTTCTCATCACCCTCCGGGTAAAGATGTTTCTCTTAAATTTTCGATTAGATTTACTACCCTCCAGTTCTGGCCCCCAGTTTTGGTCTCCTTCACAACAATGAGGATTTAGTCAAAGAAAGTATGACATAAGACAGCATGCTGTAGGGGGGAGACAGTAACATAGTGGTAATGTCATGGGACTAACAATCCAGTATCACAGAACTCCCTAAACTGTGGAAGCAGGCCATTCAGCCCATTGAGTCCACACCAACCCTCCAAAGGGCATCCTACCAGACCACCCCTCTACCCTATCATCCTGCATTTCCCATGGCTAATCTACCAAACCTGCATATCCCTGGACACTATGGGCAATTTAGCATGGCTAATCCACCCTAACCTGCACATCTTTGGACTGGAGGAGGAAAGCCACACACAGACAATGGGGACAAAGCGTCCCAGGCATAGACGGTCGCCCGAGGATGGAATCAAACCCAACCCCCTGGCACTGTGAGGCAGCAGTGCTAACCATTGAGCCACCATGCCACCCACTAAGCCCAGGCAATTTTCTGTAGGCCATGGTTTAAATCCCAGCGAAGCACCCCGTGGAATTGAATAAATAAATTGGAGCTATAAAAGTTGATCTCAGTGATGGTGACCATAACAACTATCATTGATTGATGTTTAAAAACCCTTTTGCCATCTGCTATCCTAACCAGGTGTGGTTTTTATGTGATTCCAGACCCACAGTAACAGTGGTTGATTCTGACTATCCTGTGAAAGAGCCTCACCAAGCCGGGCCATCAAAGGCAATTAGTGCCAGGCACTAAATACTGATCTGGCCAATATCTCCCACGTTCCATGAAATATTAAGTTTGCGAAAATGTAGGTGAGAGAAGTTAAAATGGGAACCATAAAAATTGTCAGCTCGAAATTTCTTCCAACTTGAATTGTGTGCTGTCACGAGCATTATCAAAGGTTCATCTCCTTCAGATAAGTTTGTGCTGAACTGTTTGAAGAAAAAGATGCTAGCAATTCACAGTCTTAATAATAGAAGAAAAAGGGATGGAAGAATAGAAGAAGAAATTGCCTGCAATGTTATGTCTCAAAGGGATTGCAACAACAGAAAACTGCTTCTAATTCTATTGCTTCTCATTAAAAAATGACTTGGTTCAGAGATAAACAGAAATACGAAGGTTTCATGCTGCAAATGTTCACCAGGTCCAATCAAAGACAACAATCCTTGAACATT